GTTATAAAACTCTTGGGCATATCTCCAAATGTTATTTAACTGTGTAAGCCATAGTTACAAAACTCTGGGCATATCTCCAAATGTTATTTAACTGTGTTAAGCCATAGTTACAAAACTCTTGGGCATATCTCCAAATGTTATTTAACTGTGTTAAGCCATAGTTACAAAACTCTTGGGCATATCTCCAAATGTTATTTAACTGTGTTAAGCCATAGTTACAAAACTCTTGGGCATATCTCCAAATGTTATTTAACTGTGTTAAGCCATAGTTATAAAACTCTTGGGCATATCTCCAAATGTTATTTAACTGTGTTAAGCCATAGTTACAAAACTCTTGGGCATATCTCCAAATGTTATTTAACTGTGTTAAGCCATAGTTACAAAACTCTTGGGCATATCTCCAAATGTTATTTAACTGTGTTAAGCCATAGTTATAAAACTCTTGGGCATATCTCCAAATGTGGAAACCTTTATTTTGGCAGATATGGATTATATTGTTATGACCTTACAGCACATCAGAAATTTGTAATCAATTGAAAATCCCTCGCTTTCATCATTTATATACTCTCATGATAGTTTATTTTATTGAACAAAAACACTAAAAAAATAAACAAGAGCCTATGTGCAAGATTAGTCTAAGTTCAACCCTTTTCTGCGAAAATTGCAAAAATTAACAATACCTGTTTTCAGACAGTGTCTTAAAAGTAGATCCACTCTTCAATAAAATGGTATTCAAATTCATTTGTGAGAGAGAATGATAATGCATGCTTGTCATGGTTATAGTAAGGCAACAAAACATATTCCAAATACCAGTATAAGAGAAGTGAGAATACATTCATGTTACAGAAGAAGATTTTTGTTTCAAATGAATGGCGTCTGATAACTTCAACAAGCAATCTCATGTTAGAAATGGCTCCTACTGTCTCTCAGAACAAAGTTGATAATGTTTTACAAGATGAGATATTAGCTCTTTGTCATGGCAGAGGTACATTACTTGGGGTTTGCAACGCGCATAGTACTGTATGGTGACATCATGTCAAGATCCCATTCAAGTCTCATCTCGTAGATAGCGAGACTGATGCTACGACCTTCTGACATGACAAAGGCGGTTTGTAATAAAACAATATACCACATGTATTACCACATTCATAGTGAAAAAATGTAATACATAAAAAATGTACAGAAAATATAGTTATCGTAATCCGTCATATCGTGAGCAGCTATTTTGATCCACCCGGACATCCCAGTAACCTAGTTACCTCGGGCATGTGCATTCGATTTTTTCTAAGTTGGAACGCTTATGCGAGAGCGAGATTGGAACGGGATCTTGGTATCATGTCACTGTAGTTGCAAACCCCAAGTAATGTACCTCTGGTCATGGTTATTGTTAATATATTTGTTCCTATGGCAATGACAATTGTTACATATTGTCACAAAGTATCTAAGTAATTGAGCTGGTAGTTTTCAGGAAGAAGACAAAAATGGCATAATGATTCACCAAAAAATAGAGAATTGAAGATATCATCACGAAATGAGCAACATACCAAGTACCAAAGTAATTTGCCTGCAAAGAAGTCAAAAATAGAATTGTTGAAGGATGAATGATCATGTAAATGACAGTTCTGCTAAGTCATCTTCAATGACAATGTCCGTATGCGCTGGTACATTCATCGTCTCACACCATTAATGTTTTACAAAGGTAGCTAAACAATTTAGCTTGTTATGAATAGCATTACACCATGCTTGGTTATTGATAATCTTGTATAAATGTATGTTAATGAGGTTATCGCACTGTACACCCTGCACTAGAAATAATTGAATCATTTCTAGAAACGTACATTTTATTTTGTGTCCTTAGCTTCCGAAAATGTAATTTTCAAAATATAAAAGATTTATATTCAAGGTAAGCACTTTATGATAAAGTGAAATTATTTTGAAATCTCTTAAAAAATAAGATGCAGACAATGGCTGAAAAATTTGCTGTACATATAATAATTATTATAAGAGCACATTTTTTGTTGATAATTTAAATTCCTATCAGGGATACATCTCAACAGTGTGAATTGTTCTCCCTTATTAGCCCTAAAGAATTGCCCAGGTATTTCCTATATTATTCACTCTATTCAGAGGTGTAAAATGTCAATTGAATTTAAACATCTGTGCATGGATGTGATTTAGTTGTTCATCCAACTTGCAGCTGTCTGAGGGCACTCAGAACACAATTAGGACATGCCATTGAGATCTGAGAGTCTTTTCTGTAGAGGTGGGTCATGATGTCAGACGTAGATGGTAACGGGATTGGTAAGTTATTCATAAAACTCTCAAACTGTGGCAATGTTGTAAGTAAAAATGGCTGCCTGAGAAAATGATGTCCACATGTGAAGATTTTGATATTTGGTTCATCTTCCTGCGGGTCATAGCGATAAGTGTTAGACTGTATTTGTGACCTCAACAAATCTGACAACATCATCACATTATTGGAGGAGAGATGTACAAACTCCTTTGAACCCATGTCCTTTCTTAAGTTGTACTGTATTTCCTGCCACAGACGTTCTTCTGGAATTCTACTTGTAGAATGACTTTTCAAACTTTGTCCTAAAACTCCATTATCGTCAATGAGCTCACTCTGCTGCAGAATACTGCAGATTTCTTTGTGTGGCATTCCAGTTGTTATGTGCTCAACTGCTGTAGATGTGACTTGCAAGTAAAACCGTGTACTGAATTTATTTCTTATTCCAGTGGGAATATCGAGCAATGATTTGGTATGATGTGTTGATTCAGTTGTATGGGCCATATCCAGGTTTCTTTCTGTGGAAGTTTCTTTACTGCAAGAAGCAAACAGAAGCATTAGATCAAGGACTTATTAGTGTATGCAATGAAGATCTCACACCAATTGAAATATAATCCAGAAACCACAAGAACATTTTAAAAATCCTAATACAAATTAGTGCTGTTTTTTGTAGCGTCTGTGATTATTCACAAAGTGTGTGTAATACGTTTTTAAATTGCCAAGTATCCAGGTGGGTTCCGTCATGCTACAATAATGTCCTTTGTTTTTCATTCATAATGAGACCTCATTAGAAAAAGTTACGACAATACAAGTAGTACCAGGTAATTACAAATGTAAGTAGCATATACTTTAACATTCATACAGGTTTTTTTTACCCAAGCATAATAAAATATGGCAACCATTGAATAATGTACATACATACATGGTTCCTATTTGCACTTAGTATTCTAGCATTCTTAGTAGCACTTGCCGTGCATTGCGCCAGCGCGCTCATCTACACGCTTTGAGACATTTGATCTGCAATCGCGCAATTTGGCAACATACAAATTTTAAGAGTTGTGGACTTTGCCATGTGATGGCACCGTTTTGTTTGGCATATAGCTGCACACAAGATGACACCTGATATGTTTGTAAAAATCAATTCTTCGCCAGGCTGAAGCTGTTTAAATTAGTTTAAACAACCATCAAAGTAAAAAGACGTCCACTATAAAACTTAATAGAACTCAATCACTGCTCTTGAACTCTTTCAACTTGTATATTGGTGTTCATATATGCATTCAAATCTACGAGCATGACCTGGAAGCTTGTCATGACTGAGTGCCACAATTTCTGTTCTAAGATTTATTCAGTATAATAATACAAAATGTACACCCTAACAGCAATGGACATACAGTTTTAGAGACCCTCAGCATTGCCTCGGTTGACAATGAGCTCTTCAGGTCACTAAAACTCTGTTGGGATGAACATTTGTATAATGTCAGATGGTTCTGACATGTACATACTTATTGACCATTTATTTAAGGTAGAGATGCAGGTTTGTGGGCACTTGGCTATAGACTGTTAAAATTTTGTACAATTGTGAATATTGGAACATACTCAAAAAACAATTTTAAAATATAGGTAACAGGTGCAAACATTCTCTCTTTTGAATGCTTAGCAAGATTTAGGCTGTACATAAATAATAAAAAAGAAACATGGTGAAAAAAAGAAATGACGGGATCTCCATATTTAACTTTTAACAAAACGATAATACATTTAAATTGGGAACTGTTACAACCATTTTAATTATGAGCATTAGCAAACTTCTTACTGAGTGAATTGTTATGCAAACTAGCAATTGTCTCAGCTTCTTTTTAGTGCACATCACAGAACTTCAAAAGAAATAGCTCCTAGACGCTTTGACCTTGAAATTTTCACAAATGATTGACAATGTGTTTATCCCTCGGGGAATTGTTTTTGGTTGAACAGTGTTACAAAAATCGTACAGATAACTAGCCTGGGTGTTAATTTATGCATATACTTGAAGTAGTGAAATTTGAGCTGCTGCCCTGCAGAATTGACAACTGATAGACAGTTTTCAAGACGACACTTTCTTCATAGTAAACAGATGTACCCATAAACCAATTTTGACAGGAAACAGAAGCATGGTTTAGAAGCTCATTTTTTTTAAATCAATTTTGACCAAAAAAGCACATTTTTGTGCATATTTCAAACTATAGTGTCCATAAAAAAATATACTAACAAAATTTTAAAATTCATACAATAAGCTTTCCGAAAATATATAGTTTTGTGGACAAGGGAGGTCATCCTGGTTTCCTAATTAACTAATTAAAATACCTGTCAGGTAAACTGCATCTCTACCTTAAGTCAGATGGTTATGACATGTACATACTTATTGACCATTTATTTATGTCAGATGGTTCTGACATGTACATACTTACATTGTATTGACCATTTATTTATGTCAGATAGTTATGACATGTACATACTTATTGACCATTTATTTATGTCAGATGGTTATGACATGTACATACTTATTGACCATTTATTTATGTCAGATGGTTATGACATGTACATACTTATTGACCATTTATTTATGTCAGATGGTTATGACATGTACATACTTATTGACCATTTATTTATGTCAGATGGTTATGACATGTACATACTTATTGACCATTTAAGTCAGATGGTTATGACATGTACATACTTATTGACCATTTATTTATGTCAGATGGTTCTGACATGTACATACTTATTGACCATTCATTTATGTCAGATGGTTCTGACATACACATACTTATTGACCATTTATTTATGTCAGATGGTTATGACATGTACATACTTATTGACCATTTATTTATGTCAGATGGTTATGACATGTACATACTTATTGACCATTTATTTGTCAGATGGTTCTGACATGTATGTACATACTTACATTGTATTAACCATTTATTTAAGTCAGATGGTTATGACATGTACATACTTATTGACCATTTATTTATGTCAGATGGTTATGACATGTACATACTTACATTGTATTGACCATTTATTTAT